GACAATGGCTAGAAGGGCCACATCAAGCAATTCACTGCAGTAACACACTGTTCTGTGACTTTAGCAGGTACAGATTCTGACTTCTGTTGTGACATTTCTCTAAAACCTGTTTCCCATGTGCTGTTGCCCATCTGTCTTATTTCCCTTCAGGCTCAATGTCTACAAAAGAAGAACTAATGTCACAGGCCAGGCTCTTCACCAGAAGCTTTGAAGAGGGCCTGGGCTTTGAATATGTGATGTTCTACAATGAGGATGAGAAAAGAGTGGTCTGCTTGTTTCAAGGAGGTCCCTACCTACAAGGAGGACCTGGGTAAGAATGACAACCTAGAAATGTGGGATCTAAATTATTTTTCTTAGTGCCCTCTCTCTATATCCTTGAACTACAATGAATGCAGTAAAATGATGATGTAGATATATATTTATTGGCATGGAAAGATGTTTATATTATTCAATGGGAAAACAGCATAGGACATTGGGCAATAGAGTATAATTTGAGAGAATATCCTTAAAATGTTAACAATGGTTATTACTAGGTGGTTATTACTATAGGCCCTATAATTTTTTTTTCCTTATGTCTTCTGCTATCTGTATTTCCTGAATTTCCTGAAGTTTTAAACAATGAGTGTGTAAAATATACATGTATTTGTGTAATAAAAACAGAATGTAAGCTTTCAAAATTGTATTTTAGCTTTGTGCTTGCTTGTGCTCTGATTATTAAATTCCAGATTTATGACAAATGCTTAAGACTACACTATTATGCTATAAACAAAATAAAGTCAGATACATGGGTATTATTTGATATTCAATACACTGAGCATGCACTAAATGGACCTTTCATTAGTAAATGTGTAAAGATACTTGAATAATTTTTCTCTTCCTCTTAAGAGATTCTTATCAAAACTGCTAAAAAAACATTTTTTCCCTCCTCTTGTGACTAGCTTTCTACACGGAGGTGCCATGGCGACCCTGATTGATGCTACTCTTTTTATGAATGCTCAATTAGCCGGAGGGATTGTCATGACTGCCAATCTCAACATCAATTTTAAAAGGTAAATCCATAGGAATTCTTACTTCTTAGGTGTCAGGTTTCCCAGCACAAACCTTAATGAAGATTTGTGTGCAATTGATTATTAAGGAAGCACTCTAGCTGTATGGGAGCAGATCTGTCTTTTCTCTCAGAGAGCAGTTAGTGGTTTTGAACCACCAGTCTCTTAGTGTGCACTCTAGCACACTAGCAAGGGAGGGGAGAAACAGAACAGGGACGGAAGGAAGCCAGCCAAGGATGAGCTCTCAAAGGCCTGCAAAGGAGCGCTCCAGCTTGAGCATGTGTGGGAACTCTGGAGTGAGATTTGCATCTCAAAGTTGTCCCTACCCCAAGCGAGGGGGCTGGGATCTTCATACTCTCTCACACATCAGTCATAGTTTAAAGCCCACTGTGAGGGACCATAAATTCCCAGACACTTCTAACTATATAATCAGTATGACCATCAACATTAAGTTTAAGCGTTTTATATAACGTCACACAGACAAAAAGGCAGCAAGTTGAATTTAGTATCTAAACTGTGTGCATAATTATGCACAGCTTATACTCTAAATCGCAAACAATAATGAAACTGCTGGGATAAGAACTCTACTGTCCAATCCAATTGAGGCACACACACAGACACTTTACAAGTGTTGACAATTGAAAACTGCTATTATTGTTTCTGGGAGTTTTGGTAGCATACTGGCTAAGACACTTGCCTGCTAACCAGACGGCTGGCGGTTCAAACCCACCAGCCACTCCTCGGAAGGAAGGTTGGGCAATCCTACTTCCGTACTGATACTGCCTCGGAAACCCAAGGAGGGGTCACTATGAGTCGAGGCCGACTCGACGGCAAACAACAACAACAACAACATTATTGTTTCTAAAATGTGAACAGTAAACAGAAATAGATTTGAGGTGAACCAGTCCCCTCCACCCCCAAGAGTACTCCACTTAGCCTCATAGGAGAGGAGCCTACTTGTGTCTAAAAGGGGACCTACTCACCCTTCTCAAATTACCCATGTCCATTTCTGTGTCACTAGGGGGCACACCATGGATCCGGTGTCAGCAGTTTCTCTCTCTCTCCCTGCCGCGCTCTCTCACGTGCTCGCTTGCTCACTCTCACTCAGCTGGCATGTTGCCAGCTTAGGTCAGGTGCAGTATAGCTGTGTTTGTTCTCTCTCTCTCCATGACTTCTTCTGGCTAGGTCTGACCCCCTGTACTTCCTGGTCCACTCTGAACCAGCAGCTTTGTAACAACCCTGATCAGTGCCAGGGTTGGGCCAGCATTACCACAGTTCTCAAGGCAAAACTGTTTTATGAGCAACCCCTATACGAGTATGCCCAACACTCTGCAGGCAACGTCTTGGCCCTTTGAATATGCCTCCTCTTAAGTCCCTCAGGACAGGCTTCATCTCAGCCTCAGTGTTACAGCTCTCAGCATAGCAGGGTAGTCTGCTACTACCAAAGGCATGCCAACTTGGCCCCCATGCTGCTACTTACTTTACATAAGCGCCTGCCTGCATGAGCCCAAACTGTTCCTGCTTCCCCTTTACAGGGCACCCAGCTCCACTGCAACCTCCTACCAAGAGGCCATTCCATGAGTTCCACTCCATGAGCCGACTCCACTCACAACCACTGCCCTGACTGCTTCCCCTGCTACTAGTTCCCTGCTAGGCCTCTTGACGCTGGTGCTGCCACTGGACCATTTCTGAGCCTCTTCTGTGTTACCAGCTCAGTTTTACAGCCCTTAACCCATATTATAGCTCTTTTATTTATGTGTAGGAAGTTCTCGACATGGGGACCCCAGGTCCAAAGAATGCATTCCTCTCCAGGCTCTTGTTGATCAGGAGGTCAGGAGGTTCCGAAAAATCTTCTATGACATTGGCTGCTTATGTAGGATAACTCCTTGCCAGTTTGAAGGTATGGCTTTCCTAGCAGGATCATAAACCAACCAGTCCTATCGGGTAGATTACATATGTGGATAGCTCACTGACCAATCACTTGGCCTATAGCACCCCAGCCAATCATTCTGGAAGAATTACAAAGCCAGGGCCAGAAAGGCCACATCAGAGAAACCCATTTCACCACAATATCCACCAAGCACAAAGCTCAGTGTGATGTAATATAATTCTTCAACCTTACCAGCTATACCTGAACAATCAACAGAATAGTATGGATACTGGCACAGGAATAGAGACAGCAATGGGGCAGAATAGTCTAAGAACAGAATCCAATAGGTGAGGTCTCCAAGTGAGGTTTTATGGGCTATTAACCTCACAGTGTAGACAGCATTTAAGTTACAAAATATCTCTATTTTATATCCAGAGAGTTGAATGGCTTTATGTGACAATCTTCAGGGAGCCATACTTCATAAATTCTGTTTATTTACTGTAAGTAATCCTTGGATTGCATATCCTTCTAAGGGCATTCTATAGAAAAGTACTCTTCACCCTAGCATATATTATTAGTTTATTTCAGGGATGCAAAAAAGGCATGGGGGTGGCATCTTCTGACCTCTACCTTCACAGAGGTGATACAGAATCACCATCAGCAGCCTAAGGCTAATTCCTGTGAAGTCAAATGTGCCACCAACTCGCCAACTTTTTTTTTTTAACCAATTCTGACATCAACTGTCCCTCCCATAGCACTCTACTTCTCTGCTGTGTTCAAAAATGTGTTCCAGTAGCCACACACACAACCCACAAGACAATGCTCAGGATTATGGGGTTTATTAGGGAAGCACGGGTTACAAATCAGGTTCAGAAATGTTCAAAATACAATTCTTTAGTTAGGACAGCTTCTCCTTGGCCATGCTTTTAGGCACACCTCTCTTTGACCCTTAGCCTCTTGGCCTGGCCTCTGCCCTGCCTGGGCAAATATTACAAAGCTCTTTTAGCTCTGCTGATAGGTGCACGCCACTCCACCAGCAAGCTTCTTGCCCAAAGGGACTCAGCTTTCTCTCTCCATGGGCCAGGAAGCCACTTCTATGTCTTCTTATATCAGTCTCTTGGTTTTGTTGGTTCTGCTGCCACGATCTCTGCACAAGGATCTCAGGTCCAAGGACGCACTCCATTCCTGCTGCTTCTCTCTTAATGGTGGTGAAGTCCCCTTTTCTGCTTCTAGAGGGGCTCATTTTTAAATCCAGCAGAAGGCCACATTAGGGTTCCATACACCTTATTCCCATGGTCCCACCTCCACAAGGACACCATGTATCTTATTTACATTACTAACAAGCTATCCAGTCCCCTTGGTGGGCCACAAGCACCTTACATTTACATGGTTCCACATGGTGGGAGTCACAAAGACCTTGGCTAGAAGAGCCATATGGCTAGAAGATGCATAGTCACTGCATCACAGAGGGTCAATATAATTTTTCTGTAAGTATTTTATGCTTTAAAGTCCATACATACTTCATGAAAAAGGTTCAATTCAATAGCAAACTATAAAAATTCTAAATCTGTGTATGTTGTTGTTTGTTGTTGTTATTTGCCATCGAGTCAGACCCGACTCACAGCGACCCCTCCTTGGGTTTCCAAGGCAGTATCACTATGGAAGTAGATTGCCCCATCTTCCTTCCAAGGAGTGGCTGGTGGGTTTGAACCGCCAGCCTTCTGGTTAGCAGTCAAGTGCCTTAGGCACTATGCTACCAGAGCTCCCAAATCTGTGTATACCTAATAAAATTATATTTCATAGTACGTAAGCAAAATTGATGGAACCAACAGATGGAGAAATGGACTAATCTACCTTTATAGTGAGAGATTACAACACACTGTTCTCAATTACTGGGGGGTCAAGCAGTAAAAAAAAGAAAAGAGAAGATGTAAACCATAAGATAACATCCATCATTTATTGGACATATGTAGAACCTTATATCCAGTAATTTGAAAAAAATATACTTGACTGCTAACCAGAAGGTTGTCAGTTCAAGCCCAGCAGCTATTCCCCAGAAGGAATCTTTACTTCTGTAAAGATCTACCATTTGGAAACCCAGTGGGGTCTCTATGAGTCGGAACCAACTCAGTGGCAGTGGGTGTGATTTTGTGTTTTGTTTTTTCCCCAGTTACACAGAACATTTACAAAAAGTGATCATATACTGGTCCATAAAGCAAATCTGAATAAATTTTAAAGGATCAGAATCTTACTTGCATGTTCTCTTGACAGTCAAAAATAAGGGAGTTTGTCCTTATCTTTATTATCACCTTTCTGCCTGTGATACAAGTCTGATTAAGGTATCTAGCAAAACTGGCTTAAGGAAAGTTATCTGAAGCCTGTTCTTTATGCTAATCAAGCTAATCTGTACCTAAATATGAGTTACACTTAGAAAATTATACTTTACAAATACAGTTGTTATATTATATTGTATTTTTTTGCAATCCTTTCTCTTAGCCTGTTATTAATCAAGGACTCTCTGTTGCAAAGTGTAGAACTCTTAACTCACACTAGCCTAAGTGAAAAAAGGAATGTATTGACTTTTGCGATTGAGAAGTCAGGTGTGAGTGGGTACAGATACCCATATTAGTAATTTGTTTCCATGTCTCAGCCAATGCTTTCCTCAGGCAGCCTTTCCCTTCATGGTGGCACAGTGGCCACCAGCCAGGCTTGTGTCTTGCAAGCCTTGCAACCCCAGTAGAAAAAGAACTGAGCCCAGAGGACCCATTGAAAGGATTGACTGTGGTCAGAGGATGGTGTCGACACTAGTCAACCTACATGGACTAAGAATGGGGGAGAGGTGATTCTCCAAAGATGGGGGTATATGAGTGTGTGTGAGAGAGAGAGAGAGAGAGGTTAGGAGTACAGAGTAGAGAAATGAAAGAGTAATGTTGGTAGGAAAGTGAGATGTTGGACAGGTGAGAATACCTGGTGTCCCCTGGGTCTTAGTAAACCTTGAATTGGCTCAACAAGAGAACAAAGCTTGATTAGGAAGAGGCTTAGGAAGAGCTATGATGGTAGCATTAAAAGATCATAGAAGCAAAAACTAGGCAAGAGGTGGGGAAATCACAGTGATCGCTTCCTCACCTGTAGTAGTTTCCTCATCCACATGGTGGTACTATAGAAGCATGAAGGACATCTCCCTGTTCTACAGTATCTTTTTGCCAACTGAAATTTCACCTTTAAGGAGATATTCCTTCCATTGTGGTAATTTCTGTCTCCAGTATTCCCACTGATGAGTGTAGCCATTAGTCACATGTAGCTCTGGTAGCATAGTGGCTAAGGCACTTGACTGCTAACCAGAAGGCTGGTGGTTCAAACCTACCAGCCACTCCTCGGGAGGAAGATGGGAC